GAATTGTGGTAGGTAGGTATTATGGGTAGATTGTGGTAGATGTTATGGGTGGATTGTGGTAGCTATTATGGTTAGATTGTGGTAGATGTTATGGGTGGATTGTGGTAGCTAATATGGTTAGGTATGTGGTAGATGTTATGGGTGGATTGTGGTAGCTATGGGTATGGTATGATATGGGTAGATTGTGGTAGATGTTATGGGTGGATTGTGGTAGCTATTATGGTTAGATTGTGGTAGATGTTATGGGTGGATTGTGGTAGCTATTATGGTTAGATTGTGGTAGATGTTATGGGTGGATTGTGGTAGCTATTATGGTTAGATTGTGGTAGATGTTATGGGTGGATTGTGGTAGCTATTATGTGTAGAATGTTCCAGCTACTATTGGTAGAATGGGGTACTACTGACAAGAGGAGAATATAGGTGCTGAAGAACATGGCAGTTGTGTGTAGACTTCGGGGAAAACGGGGCTTAGAAAACGCTCTGGCGTTTCAATAATCGGCGATTTGTGAATTGATCCCCCGTGTAAATACAAGACGTGAGATAATTGTTTAGATTATTTTCAGGTGGCAGGTTGTTTTATGAAATCGTAGAAAAGGATAAAAAAAACATACGTTTATAAAGACATTAGGCACAATACCGAATCTGATAAGAGAGTCTTTTGATATCGGATATGTCAGTATGACTCCACGCGAGTTAATTAAGGTACAGAAGGTATTTTTAACTTCTTTCTTGGGTAGATAGATTTGATATCGAGTGATTTTTTTCTTATTCATACAATACCACTCCTTATCATTTATTACAGAATTTTTTTTTAATTTGATATTTGAGATCATTTTAAGTTTTAAGAGCAAATCCAAGCGCAAAGCGTTTTTGTTCTTAAAAAAACTTTAAAAACTGTGAGACTGAGGAACTTGTTTCTTAATAGCACATGAAATACAGTACAGAAATTATTGAGAATTTAAGATTGTAATTTTTTATATTTTTTTCACTCATAACTCACATATTAAATGTGAATATTAGCAGAACATAACTCCAGATTCAAAGACAGGTGAACAGTTAGTATTTTGTCAAGTCGCCATGGGCAGCAATGCAGGCTTCATAGTGGCATAGTACTGATCAAAGAAGTTAGAAAGTCGTGGTCCATGCTGTCCCAATATCGGGCCACCTCTTCTTTTATTTCAGCAATATTTGTCAGATTTTTCTTATTGACACTTTCCTTCATAAGTCCCCAAACATTTTCTATTGGATTTAGGTCAGGGCTATAGCTTGGCAAATCTAATAATGTCATATTTCGGTCCGAAACCAAGCCTGTGAATGCTTTGAACGATGTTTTGGGTCGTTGTCCTGCTGGAAAATCAAACAATTTCCATAGAACACATGAGCAGATGGAAGTAAAGTCCCTCGAAAATATCTGTGTACCGCTCACTGTTCATATTCCCTTCAATACACAGAGGGGCGTTGCCCCTAACACAGATATGCCACCCCACACGTTAAAATTCGGCCTACTTTGGGCGCTGATACAAAGGTTTTTCAGTTTGTTTGGTCCAGAATTCAGTGTATTAGGAAACACACAGAACTTTCATCTGAGAAAATCACATTGTCCCAGTTAAAATTTCTATGCTGTAAGCACCTGTTCAACCTTCGCTCCTTTTGTTCAGGTTTCATGATCGGTGATGGAATTCCTCGACTTTTCTGCCAACCCATTGCATGCCGCTCAGTTCTAATTGTCTCCTGACAGACAGCCACAGTTCCTCTATCAATCATATCCAGCCTCAAGTTTTCTAAACTCCTTCGTTTGTTTTTAGAAACAAGAATACCAAGCCGCCTCCTGTCACCGACAGTCAATTTTCTGGGCCTACCCGCGCCTCCCTGGTGCTCAATGCCATATCCATTTGCAATATGTTTCAAAACACGATAAACAGTGGACAAAGGGATGCCTGTTCTACTTGAAATCACTTTAGCTGATCTGATGTCCTTGTTATAATACTCTAAAATCAACTTCCTCTTCTCTAAATCATCCATACTGAGGATCACTGAAAATGTCGTCTGCTGGCAAGTAAACAAAGGGGGATAACTCTTCACAAACTAATGAAAAGGATTAACGGAGTTGTCTCTCTTGAATGAAACCACGCACTTGATAGCTGGTCAAGGTTGTTTATACTAGAAATCCAATTAAACATATTCCTAAAATTCTGAATAATTTCTGGTCATACTATAAGTATTTTTTGTTTTGTCGCAATATGAAAATTATGTTCCCGTTTTGGGAAGATGAGGCGGGATAAAAGTCTAAATAATTTGTGAAATTGTGAAAAACGTTTAGAAATCTTGTTTATACGATTGAGGATTTAAAATGTTTTTTTTTTTAACATTTGACGTATTACAAAAAAGGTAAGGCTAAATATTTTATAAATATTTATAAAGAGCCATTATCATTATTTATTATTTGTATTCTAGAGATTTGTGTGATGTCATTTTCAGCTTGACATTTCAGGGTGGAAAGCCTGAAGCGGTGCAGATCACAGTCGTTTACCACTTTGGTGAAATCCATGAGCTCTGGACTGGACTGTGAGTGAGTGGGTGAGTGAGTGAGTGAGTGAGTGAGTGAGTGAGTGGGTGGGTGGTGAGTGAGTGAGTGAGTGAGTGAGTGAGTGAGTGAGTCTTACCTCTAGCATTATCCCCGTAATAACAAGACATAAACCCATGTAGGGAATCGAACCCGGTTGGAGGAACTGACGCATTAACCACTAGGGCAACCCAACTGCCAATTTTCTTAGTTTTGTTTGATACAGTTTTTACGAGTTAAACCTTTTAAGCTAATAAGTCAATAAAGTTGAATAACATTCCAGTATGTGCACTCTGTAGTGATAAATACATCACTGTTGAAAACAACTGTAATATAGATACCATCATCCCTTATGGAACAATGGCCAATTTGGAATGTTCATCTTCACTTGATTGACAGGGATGGGAGACAGAGAAATGTTTAAAGCTTCGGAATCATTTACTTGGATATAAGCATCGAAGTTGGTTCGAGTTTTATGCCATGATTAGCTTATTATTGTGCAGAATGGAAATGGCCAAGGTCTGTATGAGGATAGCAGGGATATTTTCTTATGATTTATGTATATAATATTCATCTTTCATTACTTACTTAATTATCTGAGTTCACTGAGATGGAAAGATGATAGGAAGTATTGCGGTTATATGTAAATCATGGCGTATGATATTGTGATAGGTAAGCCTTTTTAAGTGTCCCAGCATTTTAAAAAAATAATAATTTTGTTTAAAATTGTTTAACAATTGAAAGTCTTTAGGGCATTACCCTGTACCAAGCATCCATGTACGCCTATTTATCTGAATGGGTATGCTGATGGTAAGAGGCGACTTGCATCGGGTTGTCAGGCTCGGTTGATTGACACAGTACGCCAAGCTCGTTGTCTTAACATCAATCACTTGAGTATCGAGTACAGATTCGGTAATATACAGCCACCATAATAATCTCACGAAACACTCTTAATTCCAAGTTTAAATTGAATACATACATACTGAGTGAGTGAGTATGGCTCTAAGTCGCTTTTAGCAATATTCCAGCAATATCACGGCGGGTGGCACCAGAAATGGGCTTCACACATTGTACCCATGTGGGAATCGAACCCGGTCTTCGGCGTGACGAGCGAACGCTTTGACCTATTCTGCCCCACATCCCCGAGAGATCCCCAGGGGACATTATTGTGGCGTACAAAAATACAAACGCCGCAGTCTTAATTCCAATTTTAATTTTTTTTGTGTGTGTGCATATTACAAGATTATCACTGGTCTTTGTGTTGGCATGGTATCTTCAAAGTATTTATAATGTAGCCGGTGTTGTAGAGTAATGAGAGTCACAAGCCGTTACAATCTTGTTTCATAAAGAGAGCACCATCATATGCTTTGACTTTAAACCTTAACTGGATCCTCGCAGCTGTCTACGTTTTATCGTTGTTAAACTGATATTGTTTAATCTAAGATTAAAGCGGCTCGTTTCAGGCAGATTGTCGAATAAATAGCCCAGCCGATTTGTGTAATTATGTAAATTGTTTCAAGGTAATTTGCCTAAGTGAAGTCATCCATTTATTAGATTGCCTGGCTAATTCAGGCTTCAGACAAATATCCTCGATAGAGCAGCTCAAGCATATACAGTACTATGTTCAGGAAAACCTATTAGTAATCAATTTTTTATTATTTGCTTTTTTGCTTGTGGCACAGGCCCTTGCGGTTAGTCGTAAATTGGACCCGTGAAGATCCGGGTGAGTAAGTGAGTTTTGGTTTTACGCCGTTTTTAGCAATATTCCAGCAATATCACGGCGAGGGACACCAGAAATGTGCTTCACACATTGTACCCATGTGTAGAATCGAACCCGGGTTTTCGGCGTGACGAGCGAACGCTTTAGCCACTAGACTACCCCACCGCCCCCAGATCGGGGTGAGATTTGGTCTTCAGTAACCCATGCTTGTCGTAAGAGGGTCAGGTGGTCAGGCTCGATGACTTGGTTGACACATGCCATCATATCCCAATTGCGTAGATCGATGTTGATGCTGTTGATCACTGGATTGTCTGATCCAGACTCGATTATTTACCGACCGCCACCATATAGCTGGAATATTGCTGAGTTCGACAACAACAATCAATTGTCAATCAGTGCTTTTAAATTGCATAAGGCCCAGATCAGAAACCAAGCGAAGTCTAGTCTCTATTCCATCGCAGCGAACGGGTACCCGGCAGGATGAAATGGGAATGTAAATTCAAATCTTCTTAAGCCAACAAAGCACGGGCAGCACGGGAGTATACCCGTCATGGAGCTGAGAATGCAATGGCCACTGATCCACTGACCAGGGTGAAACTGTTAGGGCCTTAGTCCATTCATTTATCTATTGTCAACTTTGTTGTTGACAACTTTATATAACATTGGAAACATACTATACAGCAATACGTAGATAAATACGGGCACACAAACATGATATTGAAAGACAGATTTTATTGGAAGTATAGAAATATCTTTTTCTACTTTTACTCCAATTGTTTAACCTGACTAAATGACCCTGCATCTCTCCAGCATCTCTCTCTACAGTCTTTGTCTTGTTGTGTCCTAAAATCTTTGTCTTGTGTCTTGTGTTTAGTCTAGTCTCTTGGCTTGTGTGAGGTGTTGAGAATCTGGTGTCTGGTCTCGTGTGTACTATGTTGTGTCTAGTGTCTTGAGTTTAGTGTCTTGTGTCTAGAGTCGGGTATCTAGTCTAATGTCTAGCATGATGTGTCTGTGTCCAGAGCTGATGTCAATTGTCTTGTCTTCTTGTGCCCTGTGCTCAGAATTCACTGATCCGGTTTCGTGTTTAGTATAAGGTGTTTCGTCTGTAGAGTCTGTAGAGTCTGTCGAGTCTCGTGTCCAGTCTAGTGTCATAGTCTGGTGTCTAGTCTAGTGTCTAGTATACCGTGTCTAGTATCTAGAGTCAGGTATCTCGTGTGTGATGTCTGGAGTCTCGTGTCCAGACTGATATGTTGCCATTGGTATCTAGTATCTGATGTATGGCCTAATGTCTAGTGTGTGGTTCTCAGTGTCTAGAGTATGTTGTCATATTTTAAAGTCTAATCTTGTCTAATGTCTACAGGTGTGTGTGAAGTGTCTTGTGTCCAGAGCTGTAGTCTACTACACTCGTTGTCTTGTTCGGCCTTATGCTCAATGTTCAGTTGTCTGATTCCAGGTGTCAACGCTCAAACATCCAATACGTCAACCTAGTATATTCTCTTGACCATGTGCTCTGGTTCTGCCCACATCTAAACTTGGCCCATCCCACATACAAACGTACACACGCACACACATGCACACAAACGCTCACACTACACCTCACCATCACGCATGCACAAATTACCAAATACCCTCATCTTACGTCTCGGGAGGTATATAATCGACTATGATTTAATGCAGATATGGTTTCTGTGGAGTCTCACAAGTATCAAACCAGTTTGTTATACTTGCATAGGACTTCCGGTATCGGTCGACCTCATGCAGCCTGGAGCAGATAGTACACTCCCCCAGACCCCCTCCCCCACACCCTGAATTTCGCTCGACGCTTTAGGTACTCCACATATATAGCAGGATTATTTTTCAGGTATTTCAGATGTTTAGCCAGGTCACGTGGTGACCGGAAGTCGGCTGTGTTGAGAAACAGGTCTTTTGGGTAAATTTGAGCGTAGTTCGCTTTGCCTCTTACAATAGGCAAAATATTGTAAGAAAATGTCTTAAATAGCTTTTCTGTCACATAATCTTGACAAAATAAACTTTCGAAGGACAAGTAAAACCAATGCTGATCATAGCATCTACTGAGTTGGTTTTGTCCATTGTCTTCCATACATTTAGGCTTGCCACACTTTCCCACAATGTCAACGTCAATGTACTTCTGGAGTTCCTCCACATACTTCTCCCGTCGGCTTCCCGAGTGACAGTTACTCACGAACCACAATACAGATCGAGTCTTCTTCTTCATGACGTCCGTCCAGTTATACGTCACAACGTCCTTCGGTCTTTTTAACGTCAGGTCTCCATACGAAGCTACGAAGTCCGAGTTTCGCTGGTACGTCAGGGTCCAGTTGAAGACGGTGTCCCAGTCACCGCCCGGAAATCGGGACGCATAGTTCGCCCATGGTTCCTTCGCGAAGAAGATCCATACCTGGTTGTGGCTGGTTCTGACTGGTTTTTCCTTGACTCTGTTCCTGGATAGAAGGAATGCATCCACAACGACTGCGTCTGCAGCTGCGAGTCTGGCTTTATCGCTGCTGGTAACACACTGATATTTTCCACATGATATTATTTTCGGAGGTTTGTGCTTACGATAGCTAGGGATCATGTGCCACACTATTAGTTTGGGCTCACCGTGATTTTTCTCGGCGTATTGTAAAGGTTTGAGCTCACTGTGCTTGTTCTCGGCGTATTGTAAAGGTTTGAGCTCACTGTGCTTGTTCTCGGCGTATTGTAAAGGTTTGAGGTCACTGTGCTTGTTCTCGGCGTATTGTAAAAGTTTGGAGTCGTTCCTTCGTAATCTAGGGATGTCATGCTGAATACGTAGGTTCTCTTTAAGTCCCACCTCCGTGTCATTTTGCTTTTTCTCTTCCGCCCATAATTTAAGGAATTGTGGAGTATTGTAATGCTTTGGAATCTGTGTTGGTATGGGGTCATGACGTCTGTCCTTGACCTTCGCGTGAAAGACTCTGACTGGAGTTGATGTTGGAGGTTTAGAGTAGAACAGATGGCGAGACACGAACAGCAATGTCAGCAATGCTGCTATTACCAGCAGTGTCGTCTTCACAACCCTGTAAAGAAGAAGAGTGTTGAATGAATCATTGAGTAGGTGAGTGAGTATGGTCTTCTTAACGCTGCTGTCAACGGTTTTCAGTTATATCACGACGTGAAGCCGAATAAAAACTCAGTGAGTGAGTGAGTGAGTGAGTGAGTGAGTGTGTATGGACAGTATGTCAGTTATATCACGACGTGATGCGGAATAAAAGCTCAGTGAGTGAGTGAGTGAGTGAGTGTGTATGGACAGTATGTCAGTTAGATCACGACTTGATGCTGGTTGAAAGCTCAGTAGGTGAGTGAGTGAGTGAGTGAGGTTTTACCCCGCTTTTAGCAATATTACAGCAATGTCACGGCGAGGGACACGAGAAATGGGCTTCACACATGTGGGAAATCGAACTGGTGTCCTCTGCGTGACGAGCGAACGCTCTAACCACTGGGCTAGACACACACACGCGCGCGCACACGCACACGCACACACACGAATTGTGCAAACTCTCTGGTCACATATATAAAACAGAAGAGGAAGTTTAAATAAGTTTGGCAAACGTTTTCAGCTGGTAAATTTTGTACCTGCGTTTTCAGGCCGCTTAATGCAGTAACGGTATATCAATAAACATGGATGGACTCCCTGTAAATTAGACAGACGCTGTAATTGTACACAGACGCTGTAATTGTACACAACTTGCATTTAGCTTGTCCTCTTATTTTTCTTTTTTTCATCTCCCGCTCGCCCTGACTTTTCATTCCGATGTGAAAATATAGAATGTTTTCTTGTCTCATGTTTCCCGCCGCTGCGGAAATCAAAGCCCAGGGGATTGCCCCCGGCGATACTCATATTTGAATTTCGATCAGTCAGTATATTTTGAGATGATACGAAATAACGATATCCTAAAAAAGTACTCATATGTGACATACACTGACGTACAAAACAAAGTACACACTTGGTGTAATCTTGGGATAATCTTCCAAAAACAACGTAGATATTATGAAAAGTGTTTTGACTGTCAAAGACATGCTGCCAGAACGCCATAGATGCCCATCATACCCATCGGCGACATCCCTTGCCCAACCTAGACGATTCAGTCGATTTGAACCTAGGCATTCAGGGCGAAGTTGTTAATCGCCAACATACTATGCAATAGTATTCCTTGACTACCAAATACTGCTAAACAGGTTGAACGGAATCCACCCCTCCTGACCCACCCCCTACCCTATAAATATCCACAATGATACAATAGATACAGGCAAGGTATTGGATCCCATATTTATGTAAGTATGAACGCGAACAAAACTCTTTTTTCTCCCAAGACAGTGAACATTTTAGCCACGCAAGCAGCGATTATGGACTGCCTGTAAATTAGACGGTGAGTGAGTTTAGTTTTAAGCCGCTTTTAGCAATATTACAGCAATATCACGGTGGGGGACGCCAGAAATGGGCGTGAATTAGACAGACGCTGTAATTGGACACACCTTGCATTTAATTTGTACTTATGTGTACTTACTTTTTTCTGTGTTTCTCATCTCCCGCTCGCCCGGAATTTTCATTACGATGTGAAAATGAAAAAAAATGTATGGTTTCTTGTCTCATGTTTCCCGCCGCCGTGGAAATTTAAGGCCAGGGGATGGATAAATACATTCTCTCTCTTGCACACTTCTTCATCTACATTTATAAACATGGTTCCGGAACAAGCAACTCGATCTAAACAATAATTACCAATACTATTACCAAGTAATCGATATTTAAAAACATCATAAAATAAGGAACAATTATGGAAAAACATCATGAATGCATTTTTCCCAACCCGCTCTCTTGCTGCTTGATGGGCGGTGGGGTAGTCTAGTGGTTAAAGCGTTTGCTTGTCACGCTGAAGACCCGGGTTCGATTCCCCACATGGGTACAATGTGCGAAGCCCATTTCTGGTGTCCCCCGCCGTGATATTGCTGGAATATTGCTAAATAGCGGCATAAAACTAAACTCACTCACTCTTGCTGCTTGAGGTTGAAGGTGAGAAACACATAAATAGATACAGACGGCCTAAGTCAAGTGACAATGTATATTCAAGAGTAAATTGATCTGACAAGGAGGACTGCTTCGTTATTTGATAATAATAATTATAACTATCAGTTTTATAAATTTTACATCATGTCGTGTATTGATAAAACACAACATTTTGGTATCAGAATATTGGGCCAAAACCTAATAGAAATATTGACCCTTACATTTGTCCGTTTATGGACAGATTCCTAGATCTTCGAACACTCACTCACTCACTCAGATATATACTTATGCCAATAATGGTTGTCACCCCCAGCCCACCCCAACCCCACAGATCTCCAATAAAAGAAATTGAAAGGGGGACAACCATTATTGGCACGAGTATAGTAAAGGGATCAAATTGACAAATGCGAAGTAGAGATTAACATTTCAACATAATTAATACGGGTACTGACTTCTCACAAAGCCCCGAGTGGAAAGACCTTTCCAGTACAGACCAAGATCTTTCCAGTACAGACCAAGACCTTTCCAGTACAGATCAAGAAAAGATGAATACATTCCAACACTCTGTTGAAAATATTTGATCATACCGACCTTTAAAATAAACCCGCATTGTCCACGGAGCACTGCTTGTGTTCACGGGTCATGTAAATGTTTACATATGTCCAATTATATCTTACCAACCACGCAAAGCATGATCGAAACTGACCGCTCATGTCAGGAACTATAGGTATATCCCCTGTTATATAAGTTAAAACCCCTGTTAAATAAGTTATCCAACCCCAAATTCCTCATGTTTAAACCGCACGGAGTTAAGTACTTAACCATAGTGAATATGGCGGCGAAAGCCATACATAAACTAGGTTCGGAAGCTTTCTTTCAATTTGCGACACGCCCAAACTAGACTTATCGCCAGTCGCTTAACAATAAACAAACGAATAACTCCTAATTAAAGGTTGGTTTTTGCATTTAACGTATGAACAATTACAACGCGAAAGTCTTGCCGACACCAGTACAAAAATACACGAATTAGACAGCAGGAAACACAGGCGCCACCCATACTGAACTCTGTTCTAATAAATCAGTTATTGAACCGTTACCCTTGTCAATAGCCATTGAACACACGGGTTGCTGTAAACATGGCGCTTGACTATAGTCGTACATTTTGTATTATCAGTGAGGTTTTTAGTTAAAAATTACTCACCGAAGCCCGTACATCCAGTAATTACATCTTCTCGCTATGGCCATCCCAAAGACTCTCAGCATATCGTTTCCAAGTTTGCTAGGGAGGGTGTTTTCTTTACGAAAAGCAGGTCACCCCAACATGTAAGCCGGGGGGTGACAGCTGTGAACAGATCTACAGTCACGCTAAGTTGGTTCTTGAATATACATGGGCCCTGTTCCATTCTCCTCTCAATCCGGGTTACTTTGTCATTGTGTTGTTGTATTGTATAATTTGAACAGTAGTACAGTGTTATATTGAATGTTCCCGTTGGCGTTAGTTCAACGGTTGAATAGCTTCGGTGGGCAATAACATTCCCTTAACACATGTGGTATGTCTGAAGACTGTGTCGTGATTATAGGCTGTAGTGCACTGCATGTTCAACGTGAGTGGCAGTTATAAAATCCACGTCTGGCTAATTGTAAGTTAGTTTGTTAAGTTGATTAGTTTTTTTAAGTAGATAAGTTTGTCAGAAATATTTTTTATCAAATGAAACGAGAATTTCCAAAACATACTTTATCAGGCTGACATGCACTCTGGCAACTGGCCTAATTGTACTGTTTGCCATTCATCTTATCTTGAAACATATACTGAGTTACGCCCCTTAGCTATACAGGGATGCACGGTTGGTTGTCGAATCCTAGATTCTTTGGTTATGGTCGTTGGTGTGTCTGGGCGTCTACCTCATGTGAAAGACATCGGTCAATTGGGCCCACGATAATAAGATATAGTATAATTAATTTTTATTATTTGGCAAGGGTAAATAATCTATTCTGTGTGACACAATAAAGATATATGACTGCAAGCGACACGTAAGACGTGACAAATTGACGACGTCGTCTGTGACATCGATTGATAGGTAACGTCACCCCGTGTATGTAGTTGCGACGGAAATAGGTAACCCCCCTATCGATAATGTTCTATCAACTCCACTGACAAGACAATCCACAGTGGAATCTTCACTATCAGTCTCCCCGAGAGACGGCCCCATCCTTCTCAGCACGTGGTCGCGCATCCCGGGCAGGTCACCTGCTCAACTCTCACGTTTAGACCGGAAGTGTACACAACCCGTCATCCATTAATCCAAATATCCGGTGTAGAAGCGGGCGAACGGATGCATTTAGGAAAATATATAATTGAACTGAGTATATCGCCAATTAACAACTAATTAGATATGTTAGCAACTGCACGAGTGGTAGTTGCGGCTATTGTTGGAACGTTTATTGTGTGCCGCTGTGGTCATCTGTCACGGACATGATGTATCTCAACATCCAGAAATGAACCTCCTCAGATCCTGTCATAGTTTCAACATCCGCTTCAGAACGGCGTTGATCACAAATCTCTAGATGTAACAAACAATAGAATTAATTGGAGAGTTTTCGTCTCGGAATATATATCATGGGCGGATCCAGGAATTTTGAAGGGGGTGGTGGTGGTTCATCTTCAATGTGGTCTTAAGTCATTTTCAAAAGGAGGGTCGAACCCCCTGAACCCCCTATTAGCTCCGCTGGATCCACCAATGTATATAATGTTGACTGTAGTGTGTGAGTGAGTTTAGTTTTAGATTTATAGCACTATAAAACCAGCTTAAGTCTGGGCTAGTACAAGCAGCCGCACATACACATACACACACGCATGCACGTCGTCATATGAGCGAAATATTCTCAAGCACGACGTAAAACCCAATTTCATCTCACCTCACCTTCATAACATTGGCATGAGATCACATGACAAGAGTTAGAATTGCTTTCAGCAGCCCATGCTCCGACAACGGGATCGGGTTGTAAGGCTCGATGACTTGTTTGATGCAACATTCGTAGATCGATGCCCATGATATTGATCACTGTCTGGCCCAGACGCAATTACTTACAGACAGCCGCTACATAGCTTCAATACTGTTGAGTGATGTGATAAAAAAGACCCAACCCCACACACCTTCCCCCAAATCAACCCCCCCCTCCCAAACAAAAACAACAATACAAAAATATCAGCAAAACAACAGCAGCAACACAAAAACAAACAACCACATGCAGTTTATATAACATTGGTATAAGATCCCCATGAGATCAATACATTGGCATGATTTATCACATGGCATCGATATATTGGCATGAGATCGCATGACATCGATACATTGGCATGAGATCGCATGACATCGATACACTGGCATGAGATCACATGACATCGATACATTGGCGTGAGATCGCATGACATCGATATATTGGCATGAGATCACATGGCATCGATACATTGGCATGAGATCGCATGACATCGATACATTGGCATGAGATCACCATGATCATATATATATTGGCATGAGATCACCATGCCATCGATACATTGGCATGATATCACATGACATCGATACATTGGCGTGAGATCACATGACATCGATATATTGGCATGAGATCACATGACATCGATACATTGGCATGATATCACATGACATCGATACATTGGCGTGAGATCACATGGCATCAATACATTGGCATGATTTATCACATATCATCGATACATTGGCATGAGATCACCATGACATCTATATAACATTGGCATGAGATCACATGACATCGATATAACATTGGCATGAGATCATAAGATCTCGATACATTGGCATGAAATCACATGATATCGATGCATTGGCATGAAATCACCATGACATCGATAACATTGGCGCGAGATCACATGATCTCGATACATTGGCATGAGATCACCATGGCATCGATATAACATTGGCATGAGATCACATGACATCGATACATTGGCATGAGATCACATGACATCGATATAACATTGGCATGGGATCACATGACATCGATAACATTGGCATGAGATCACCATGACATCGATACATTGGCATGAGATCACATACATCGATATATAACATTGGCATGACATTGGCATGAGATCACATGACATCGATACATTGGCATGAGATCGCATGACATCGATACATTGGCGTGAGATCACATGACATCGATACACTGACATGAGATCACATGCCATCGATACATTGGCATGATATCACATGACATCGATACATTGGCGTGAGATCACATGACATCGATATATTGGCATGAGATCATATGACATCGATACATTGGCATGATATCACATGACATCGATACATTGGCGTGAGATCACATGGCATCAATACATTGGCATGATTTATCACATATCATCGATACATTGGCATGAGATCACATGACATCGATACATACATCGATATTGTTGGTGAGCGTCACACATGGCATCGATACATTGGCATGAAATCACATGACATCGATACATTGGCATGAGATCACATGACATCGATATGAGATCACATGACATCGATACATTGGCATGAGATCACATGGCATCGATACATTGGCATGAGATCACATGGCATCGATACACTGGCATGCGATCACATGACATCGATACATTGACATGAGATCACATGGCATCGATACATTGGCATGAAATCACATGATATCGATACATTGGCATGAAATCACATGACATCGATACATTGGCGTGAGATCACATGACATCGATACATTGGCATGAGATCACATGGCATCGATACATTGGCATGAGATCACATGACATCGATACATTGGCATGAGATCACACGACATCGATACATTGGCATGGGATCACATGACATCGATACATTGGCATGAGATCACATGACATCGATACATTGGCATGAGATCACATGACATCGATACATTGGCATGAGATCACATGACATCGATACATTGGCATGAGATCACATGACATCGATACATTGGCGTGAGATCACATGACATCGATACACTGACATGAGATCACATGACATCGATACATTGGCATGAGATCACATGACATCGATACATTGGCATGAGATCACATGACATCGATACATTGGCGTGAGATCACATGACATCGATACATTGGCATGAGATCACATGACATCGCTACATTGGCATGAGATAACCATGATTTCTGTAGATCATTGCCATGTCAACGCCATTGTGTGTGCGTGCGTACGCGTGTGTGTAACATTGACATTATCATGGTTCACAGGAAGAGTTTGATATTCATGTTGCAGCGCACGAGTATAACCTTGATATTTATGCTACAGTAACCGATAAATGCCTTGGTATTTATACTATAGTGCCCGAGGTAGGCATTGATGATTATATTTAGGTGCCCAATAAATGTCTTGCTAAGTCTTTAGTCCCCGAGGAAGACACTGGTGTTTACGTTTCAGTAAAGGCCTTGTTATTTGTGTCAAACTGACTTTAGAAGACCTTGATATTTATGCCACAGCAACCGATAAATGCCCTCGTCTCCTGTAGAGACACTTCCGGTACATAGAGACATTAATGACATGCCTGGCCCACTTGTCGGGGAAATGTCTTCGGCATTTATTAAAAGCATATTTTAACGATCAGATTGTCAATGCATCTAAAGCTACAGGGGGTATAAGCTGAAATTCGAGAGCGTTAAACTACTACAATTAATGAATTAGATCGCTCTGCTAATCCGATGCGCTGATTACAAAACCACAGTGCACTTGCTCATTGCTAATACTCTTCTTTTGAAAAAAAGATAGAAATACTGAAGATAATTGAATCAAAGTGTAGTTGTTGCTCCGCCAAATGACGCTTCCTCAGCTTGAACACTATTGCTGGACGTATCGCCTAGTCCCCGACTTCATTTATTCATTACCGTAGCTCGTTGGACTGTATAATTAATGATAATTATCGCGAAAGCCTCAGCTAATTGTTGCCAATATCCTTTTATTGGACTGTTTCTTCAAATCACTAGCTCTTTTGTTCATTGAAGCTTCCAGCAATTTTTCAATGCCACCACAATTTTAGTGGAAATCGATGTCCACCCAAAGCCTCGTTTTCGTCCCCACTGGTTTTCTCTCCCATTGCGCCACCGGCTGTTGTTTCTATGATGGCGTTGCACTCCGCAACCCTTGCGCTGCACTCTCTCCACACCGATCTTTGTTTCCAAACACCAATCCATACCTATGTGTGGACGCTGGGTCAAATAGTGCACATATCTCAAGCAAGCCATTTTATCATGGCACCGAGTGCGCGGACTCAAACAAGCATTGTTTTGCTTTCATGCTCGAAAGTCGATTGTATACAGATGAATTAACGCCTATTTGAAAACCTACCAGTGTATTTGCATGAATGAAACGAATTCGACGTTTAGTCGGCGATTAGTAAGACTCGGTGAGCGGTTGTTGGAACACCAGCTGGGACCAATACAGGTTAGCTCTGTAGGACTCGTAATAAAGTCGTGCCTAGATCTTGGATGGGAGGATCTAACC